GTTGAGCCCTATATAAAGAACCTTATGTCTCGATGGCCAACCTCCATTTCCACCCTAAAGGAGCTACTACAAAACCCTAATCCATATTTGAGTGTTCTTGGAGCTTAGAAGGCCACTAGAATAGCATTTTGGTGTTGTGGATCCATTTTCCAAACAAGAAAGGAGCAAGGAAAGGTGGTGGTTCAAAGGAGAGGTTGCAGATCTGAGATTGTTGCTTCATTTCTAACCTTGTCAAGGTATAAAGATCTAAACTTGGTGATTATCTTCTTAGATCTCTTAGATTGAGTTTTTAGACCATTTTGGTCCAAAGGTTGAAGCTTTGTGGTTCAATCCGATTTCTATGACTTGGAGTTGCTACTCTCAGGTCTAAATGAGTCCCTAAGGCAGAAAGTTATCATCTTGAATGTCTTATTGGGTTCATGCATGAGTTAAGAGCATTTCTATGAGAATGGAATATCATTTTTGGAGTTTGGACTTGTTTGGGGCATGCAAAGTCACCAAGTCAGTGACGTTATGGATTAAGACGTTAAAAAGGACTTGGATATGTGATTTTAGCTTTTGGATCAGAGTATCAAGCACTTAATGGGAAAGTGACTTAACAGGGGAGTACGCTGAGCGTACATGTAGGTACGCCCAGCGTACACACCATTTGGCTAGTACGCTTAGCGTACATAGGAGTACGCCCAGCGTACTCATCAGATATGGGTGTTGCGAGTTTTGGCCCTCGGTTTGGGCCATGTAGGGGATATTGGTCCTTTGGGCCATTAGTGGGCCACTAGTGGGCTTGGGAAGCCCATCCAGTGTTGGGCCTTTTTATATTGCGATTTCGAGCCTTAGATATGGACCAAGTTGGAATAGGGTTAAAATGGTCATTTTACCCTAAGGAGGATTATTGTTTTGGACTAAGTGATATTTTGGCATTGATACCTCGGGGAGTCGAGAGATCAGCAGTTCGGGGATCTGCCAGCTAGCAGCGAGGGGTCATTCGCAGGATTCTGCAATCAGCTTTGCAAGGTGAGTTTTCTCCAGTAGGAACGGGTCTAAGGCACCAATGTCGGCCCGTTTATGTATGTTAGTGTATACCGGATTTAGATCCGATGTCGGGGTTAGCTCGATGCATTTTATATGTTCCGGATTTCGGTCCGATGTCGGGCGAGGCCTGAGGAAGGATTATAGGTATGTTTCCGAGCTACGGTTCGATGTCGGGTGGTACCCGAGGCAGTAGTGTATGTTCAGTTATACTTGTTGTCTTTGTGATACTTGTATGTGCCTGGTAGGGAGATGAGTGTGGGTGGGGGCCCGTATCTCATCACTAGCTGAGTGTGGACGGGGTTCCATATCTCATTAGTAGCAGAGAAGGGGTGGGGCCCAAGATAGGCGGGGCCTTGAGACTAGCAGTTATAGTATAGCGATTGTTTGTTATGTACTAGCACGTTTATATGTTATCGTTTTATGTGTGTAGCGGGCAGGGCCCTGAGACAAGCGGGGCCTAGTAGAAACAGATATGTATACCGAGCGAGGCTCGATGCCAGGCGGGGCCTGATGCCGGATTTGTCCGATGCCGGGCGGGCCCGATGTAGCGGGCTAGGCCCACTGTTTGCAGTATGTGTTTATGTGTATGGGATTTGGTAGTATGGGGAACTCACCAAGCTTCGTGCTTATAGTTTTCAGTGTTGGTTTCAGGTACTTCCGGTAGCAGAGGGAGGAGCTCGGGATGACTGCATGGCACACACCAAGAAATTTTTAGCCTGGGATGTTTACTCTAATAAAAAGAATATGTTTTGAGATGATACTCTGATTTGATATAACGGTTTTTGTTTATGAATGAAATGGTTGATAATTATGGTTTTTATTAATGATTTAAAACGAAATTTTTGGTCTGGGTTTTTGGGATGTTACAAGTTTCCTTGTTGGTTGGAACGAAATCACATGTGATTTCGGTCAGGCCTTTGGGTTTGGACTATGTATTTTAGTCCAAGTATAAATAGTGTTGCTTAGGGACGTGTAAGGTAGTGACAAGTGAGGATGGAATGTGATTAGGGGCTGCCATATTGTTGGAACGTGTTTTAGAGAGAGAAAGAAGAGAGAACGTTGTGTGTGTGAATCTTGTATATCGGATTATCAATCAATACATTGTGTGCATTGAAGATTCATCTTGTTCTTCTTCTTGTGTATTCTATCTTGCATCATCCACTTGATTGGGATTTCACACCATCAAGTGGATCAGATTGATATATCAAAGCGAATTTGGGAACTGCAAGTGGTATCAGAGCTTGGATCATATCAATCAAGCTGGCAAGATAATGAACGTTTTTGGATTTTTTTTCTTGGAGTTTTTGGCGTTTTTTATTTGTTTTGGACGAAATATTGGATGTTTGTTCTTCGTGTTCTTCATAATTTTGAGTTTTTGATCGAGTTTTTGCATTAAAAGTTGAAAAAATCGTGTTTTTGGTTGTAATCTGCGAGACCCCGGCAGCTATTCTTTGTCTCGGATAGGGTTTCCGCAATGTTTTCGGCCAGCAACGTGTTTTCGGCCGGCAGCGATTTCGGTGGAGCGTCTTGAGGGTTTGCGGTGGAGCGTCCGAAGGTTCTCGGTGAGAGGGTTTGCGGTGCGACGTTCTCGTCCTCAGAGTTCTCAACTCGCACGTTTTCGGTTACGATTTCGGTCTTGCATTTTCGGTCAGAAATTGTTTTCGGTGCGAGACTTCTCGGTGTGGATGAGAAGCCTCGCGATTTCGGTCTAAAAATCAATTTTTCGAATTTTGAAGTTTCGTTTTCGATCTAAAGTTTTGACTTTCGACTTTTGACTTCCAAGCTTAACTTTTGACTTTCAATTTTGACCTTTGACTTTCAAAGTTGACTTTGACTCTCAAGTTTAATCTTTGACTTTTAACTTTGACTTTTTCGTTTAACTTCCAAGTTTTCACGTTTGACCTTCAAATTTGACTTCAAGTTTGACTTTTAAGTCTGACTTTTCAAGTTTGACTTTTAAGTTTGACTTTTAAGGTTGATTTTTGAGGTTTCAAGTCAAAGGGTATTTTTGGTAAACAATGAGTTCCTCAATCACCAAGGTTAATGAAACTTCATGTTCTCGGTCTTGTGAAGCTACAATTAAGCTTCTTCGTGATCAAATTGATATATTACGTAGAGACAATGAGGACCTTAAATATGAAGGATATACTCTTAGGAAGGCCCAAAAAACCCTTAAAAGAACAACTAGAGGCCAAAACCAAGGACTTTAGAAAACTTCAAGAAGAATATAGTAACAAATGTGAGAACTATAACTATGTTAAGAGACAGCTTGCCAGCTTGACTGATGAGCTTGACACATTGAAAAATAAATTTGAAAATGCAAATTTTAACTTCAAAAAGTTTGGTGTGTCAAGTAAGAAAGTTGAGACTATGATTGAAAAACAATTAAAATTTAAAGATAATCAAAATAAGGGTCTAGGGTATCACAATATTCCACCTCCCTTCAATGACAACTATACCCCACCCCTTGAAATCAATGAGGAAGAGACAGCTGCTCAGTTTGGTCTGCCCCTATACCAGCTTCAGTTAAGACTGAACAATCAGGCCCAATTGAGAATATTGAGATGAAGGATACTAGTGATTCTACTTCATGTGCAGGTAAAGTAGTGGAAGATGAGAACAAGGAGAACATAAATAATTCTTGTTCTGTTGATTGTCAAACCAATGTCTCCTTGAACTCTGAATATGTTTCTTCTAATTCCATTACCTCTAATAAACCCGTTGTTGGTAAATATAGGCCACCAAAACAAGCAAAACAGATTTCTTGCTGTAAGTGTGCTTGTGGGAACAATCAGAGACAAGGCATGGGCATGCTACCAGGGGCAGGCAGAAACAACTTCTACGTGAAGAAAGAGACTTTTTTCCACTGTGGAACACCTGGACACATTGCCAGAAATTGTCCAAATCGTGCATATGTTCCCTACTATGCACAAGGTTGGAAGAAAGAACCAAGAGAGAGATCTTTCAAAAGAAATCCTTCGAGGTCACAATCACACAATGGTGACTGGAATGCGAAAAAGGCTAAAAATCAAACTCCCAAGGTCAAGAAGGAAATGTCGGACAAGAAGTCAAATTCAACAGATGGTCCAATTAAACCAAGATCGGTTAGGTCAAAGTCATCTCGGAGATCGGTTTCGAGTTCTAAAGCAAATGCTGAGGCATCCATCCGATTAAACAAGAAATGGGTTAAACCCGACTATAGATGGGTACCAAAGGTTCACACTCCCAAATTGTCTAATGATTCTAACATTTCTTCACAATCTGTGTGATAAACAGGATATGTCATGGGAGATAGTACCTTGCGTAGATGATAAAGGTCAACCCAGCTTCAAAATGGATTGGGTTCCAAAGACCAACTAATCTCGCACTCTGTGCTGGAGCTGCTATGGAGGAATATCATCAGACTTTAGTTTGTTGATAGTGGCTGTTTCAAGAACATGATAGGAGACATCTCTCAACTGAACAACACTCAGAACTTTAAGTGAGGGTATGTGTCCTTTGCGGGAAAGGAAGAAAGAAGAGAATCACAAATGGGGATTATACTTAACGATGTGAAGAATTTTTAAATTTGTTCCGAAATTGAGACACAACTAAGATTGAATGTGTTGCTGCATATGCGTGCTGTTCTTTGATCATCTGGATGCAACTTCAATTGGTGAATTACAGTTTGCATTTTCTTAATACTCCTGTGTTTTTCTTAAAATGATTCGTTTTGAAGACAATTTTTTATTTTCTTTCTTCCCCGTGCCCAAATTAAGGGGGAGAAATCAAAATACAAAAAAAAAAATTAATCAAACGTTGTGAATGTCAAATTGATCGAGAAAATCAATACATAAAGACTAAAAATTTGTAAATCTTTTCATGGGGTTTGGAGCTAAGAATCACGACAAACCCATGGTTTACCAATTAAAAAATTTTACAAAACAACCCCTACAAACAAACACAATTTCACTAACAGTCCCTATAGTTCAACACTCACGTTCATTTCTTCCCTTTCTATGTCGCTGCTTTTTCGGCACAGCTGGCTTCTTGGCTGGCGTCTTCTTCACGGCAGGTATCGATGCGGACTTTGGGGCCGCAGCGGTTCTTCCCGGCGTGGATCTAGTAGATGTCTTCGCGGATTTTGCTACTGGTTTCGTTGGAGTCTTCGGCTTTGCGGCTGCTTTAGATTTAGCAGTTGGATTAGCCTTGGGAGCCGAAGCTGCTTTAGGCTTAGCAAATGGCTTAGCCTTTTGAACCAGAGCTTCCTTTGCCTTGGCAGCCGGAGCTTTGGCTTTAGCTTTGGCTTTCAGTTTAGCTGGAGCTTTGGCTTTCGGGGCGGAAGCGGCAACCTTTTTCTTCGTCGGTGCTTTCTTAGCAGCAGGCTTCTTCACAGCAGTCTTCGGCTTCTATTCCGGAGCAGACAAATCAGCGGTTGTAGATGCATTCTTGGGTGGTAGCTTGAACAAATACTTGACCTTCACGAGTTTACCGGCGGCGGTCTCCTTATTCCGTCTATTGAGCAACAATTTCTTGTAATTCGCTGGAATATTCTTGTATTTCTCTTCAATGAATTTTGAGATTGCTTGCACACTCGAACTGTTCCTCTCCTTTAACGAAACGATGGTGTCCTTAATCATCTCAAAGTATTGAGGATGCAAAGGAGCATCCTTCGTCATGGGAGCAGATGGCTTCTTAGCTTTCTTAAATTTAGTTGCCTTTGCGGCTCCTTTGGTGGTCGGCTCCGTCGCGACTATTGGTTGTTCAGTTGCCATTTCAACTAGGATTAGGTTAGGGTTCGGGCAATGACAAATCAACGATTGTCCAAAAATATCTTTATTTTTGTTTTTATTTCTTTTTCAGAAAAATCCAAAATCCAAAAATATTTTTATTTTTACTTCTTAGTGATTTATATTGTGTGCTAAGTCTACTTTTAGTTTTGTTTTTATCTCAAAATTTCATTTGTCTTAAAACGAGAACTCGAAGGAAGGAGAGGCTCAAGGAGAATTCAAAGGAAGAAGAGACTCAAGGAGACTGTATCAGAACTTTCTGAGCCAAGGTTACATCCTTGAACAACTGTGGTGAGAAGGGTTTTTCATAACTTTGTGATCCACAAGGACTTTTTAGTCATTTCTTACTTTTCAAAGCGCAACAGTGATTTGTTCCCCACTTCCCGACATACCCCGACAATCAAAAACGCCAAAAACTCCAAGAAAAAAAATCCAAAAACGTTTAATATCTTGTCAATTTGATTGATACGATCCAAGCTCTGATACCACTTGTAATTCCCAAATTCGCTTTGATGTATCAATCTGATCCACTTGATGGTGCGGAATCCCAATCAAGTGGATGATGCAAGACAGAATACACAAGAAGAATAAGAAGAACAAGATGAATCTTTAATGCACACAATGTATTGATTGATAATCCAGTACACAAGATTCACACACACACACGTTCTCTCTTCTTTCTCTCTCTAAAACACGTTCCAACAATATGGCAGCCCCTAATCACGTTCCCTCCTCACTTGTCACTACCTTACACGTCCCTAAGCAACACTATTTATACTTCAACTAAAATACAAAGCCCAAACCCAAAGGCCTGACCGAAATCACATGTGATTTCGGTCCAACCAACAAGGAAACTCAAGGGGATTTCGGCCCTAGACCAAAAACTATAAAATGCTTAGAAAAGCAAAGTATAAACCATAAATTTAGAAATAACAATCTCCCCCTTGGTTTATAGCTTTCTTTTCTTATAACCAAACAAACTCCCCCTGGGTTTTTAGCTTTCTTTTCTTTTCAATCTTCGCTTTGTGCTTGGCTTTATCCTTTATCTTAGATTTCTTCACAACTTCAAGATGAGCAAATGAATATCTATATGAATGACTTCATCTTGAACAGTTGGACTTTTCTTCAAAAATTTAACATTGAACGCACATTGGGTGAGGAGGCTTCTAGTAAGGATTCTTGAAAATCAGCACTTTCAGCTTTGAGAATCTTTCGAGAAAGCAACAGAGAGACCGATTCTTCTGGATCACTTCAGCAGGTTCATAGGTAGCAGCAAATTGATTGAAGAGGCTTCAATGCAATCTGTCACATAACTTCAAGTACATCTTCACCTTGCTTCAGGGGTTGAAAGTGATGGGATTTGAGCATTCTAACACTCCTATGGTGTACATGCAACCCTAGATGATTTGGATCTATGTTTTCTCTAATATACATACAAACGTTCAAAATTCCAAAGCATCATCCTAACTAGCATACAATGGAGTAACTATACTACAAAACTCTAGTTAGATGACATACCTTTTAGTGTAGTTGAAACCTTGAAGCTTTAAGAGCCTAGCACCAATAGTGTGAATGCCTCAAGTGGAACCACAAATCACCACCAACAAATGGAAGAACTTGAGAGAGTATTCCTTGCACTCAAAATCGGCTAGCACTCTTGTGTGTACACTTAGGTGCCAATTTTGGTAGCCTTAAGGTCTCTTATATAGTGTAGCAAACTAGGGTAACACATGTAAACCCTAATGACCTTCCATATCCCTCATGCTCTATGGGTTAAAACCTCCATGGAGTATCCATGGGTCACCACATTGGTTTAGCCCAACATAAAGAACTATGGATCATTAGCCCACTTTATAAGAATGAATGATTTACCAAACCAACCCCTTATATTTAATTAGTCTCTTTTGATCACAAAATTAATTCCAAATTAATTATTGATCAATACTAATTAAATAATATGATTTCATATTAATATATTAGAACTTATAATATATTATAAATCATAATTATTCTCTTCTCAAAAGTCCATCCTTCAAATTGTCCCGGTGAAGTGCAACCCAAATGTACCATGCTACTCTCGGGTCAAGTACATACCAAATATAGTTATGGACTTAGACACCTTATCCAACAGTCTCCCACTTGGATAAGTCTAATAACTATAATTGTAAGTATAACTTCAGGATCCGACTAGCAATCATGGCTCTTAAATGCCTTTGTCGAACTTCGACTTACCATTTTAGATAAGTGATCATAGAATCCTCTGTTCTCAAGATATCAGTCGGACAAACACATGGAACACAGTCAATCTTATTGTCCAACAGTTTGTTTCCCGATTTTTGATTCGTTTGACATAGAACTTAATCGAACACATCAATTTAGTTCTGACCGGGCCCGACACCTAAGTCAAAACAAAATCATCGAGGGGCCCACGATATTGCTTTTAATCCTCCAAGGACTAAAAGGAAACAGATAAACTTTGGCAGTATATGCTTGTACTAACTATTCACTGAAGCATACACAACAACACATTTTATAACATTGAGTTACCGATGCGTTTTCGTACTATCGATGTACGACCAACTCATAGTAAACAACTCATATATCTAGTTTTGAAGATTATATGATATTATCGTCTCACGATCACTCGAGATAAATTCCATGAAGTGATATAGGTGAGCGTGGGTTGAATCCAATACTCAGACCTTATGAGCACTCATGAATGTCATAACAATGTCCAACCATTTCTGACAATCTACAAGCCAAAGTATGATCGGATGTGGATGGTTTGAATAATCCAATTATTCTTGAAGTCAAAACATGCAAAATGAAACAATAGTAAAACAATTGACATGAGACAGTACCATACTAGTAAATAAAAAACACCTTTTATATAAGCATCAAATGTCAATTACAGTTTATCTATTACAAGTTTCGAAATAGCTATCTAATCATTAAAACTAATATCATCCCTCACCCTAATGCGCCTCGCATGTTGTAAATGCTTAACCCTACTCAGTCCCTTCGTGAGGGGATCTGTCGGGTTCTCATCTGATGATACCCTCTTTGCCACGAGGAGTCCTTCTTCTATCTTGTGTCTTATGAAGTGATATTTCCTGTCGATGTGTCTAGACCTGACATGATCCCTTGGTTCCTTGGCTAAGGCAACCGCACTATCACTGTCACAGAAAATCTCCACATGCTCCTTTATAGCTGGTACAACTCCAAGGTCTCTGATGAAGTTCTTCATCCACATCGCCTCCTTCGTCGCTTCGCTGTTGCTATGTACTATGATTCGCACGTTGAATCAGCTACAGTCTCTTGGTTGGAACTTTTCCAAGTAATTGCTCCTCCATTCAGGGTAAAGACCCAGCCCGACTGAGAGCGGAAATTATCCCTGTCAGTCTGAAAGTTGGCGTCACTATACCCCACCACTCTCAAGTCATCACTCCCACCGAGGGTAAGGACCCAGTCCTTAGTCCTCCGCAGGTACTTGAGAATGTTTTTCACCGCAGTCGAGTGAGCCTTGCCCAGATTCCCTTGATATCTGTTGACCATGCTCAAAGAAAAGGCCACATCAGGGCGAGTACAATCCATAGCATACATGATCGAGCCAACAGCGGAAGGATATGGTAATTGACTCATCTCAACTATCTCAGCCTCTGTACTCGGACACTGAGCCTTGCTCAGTCTGGCATTGTGGTGGATCGGTAAGTCACCTTTCTTGGAATTATGCATGTTGAACCTCTTCAACACTTTGTCCAAGTAGGCACTTTGACGAAGTCCAATTATTCTCTCAATATCCTTATCCCTAGGATATAGGTAGCTTCCCCAAGGTCCTTCATAGCGAAACACTTCCCAAGCCAGGATTTCACCTCCTGCAAGGTTGGGATGTCATTTCCTATGAGTAGTATGTCATTGTAAATCCCAAATCTGCTTGTGTATCAATCAGATCCGCTTGATGGTGCGGAATCTCAATCAAGCGGATGATGTCGGATCAAAATGAAGAAGAAGGAGAAGAAGAATAATATGAATCTTGTATGATTTGATTAGAATGAAGTTCCCTCACACAAGATTCACACACTTATGCTCCTTTCTCTCTCTTTTGGCCGTACACTCTCCTCTCACTTATACTCTGACACCTACTAACACTATATATAGGAAACAGAAACTGTAAATGTGTTTACAACCATAAACATGTTTACAACCGTAAATGCGTTTACAACCATAAACATGTTTACAACCGTAAACCCAAGTCTGTTTTTGGTTCTAGACCAAAAACTACAATTTCCTAGAAAAGCAAAGTATAAACCAAATTTTAGACCCAACAATCTCCCCCTTGGTTTATAGCTTTCTTTTCTAATTGACCTAACAAACTCCCCCTAAAAAGTAGCTGGCTTTTCTTTGTCAATCTTCAGTTTGAGCTTGGCTTCAGCTTTAATCTTCGATTCCTTCACAGCTTCAAGATGAACTTGATGAATCTTCAATAAATGACTTCATCTTGAGCAGTTGGGCTTTTCTTCAAAATTTGACTTTGAACGAACGTTGGGTGAGGAGGCTTGATGTAATGATTCTTGAAAGATAGCGCTTTCAGCTTGAGAATCTTCAGAGAGAACAGAGAATGAATTTTTGGATCACTTCAGCAGGTACAAGATAGCAGCAAATTTATTGAGGAGGCTTCAATGCAACTTGTCACATAATCTTCAATTCAGCTTCACCTTGCTTCTAGGGTTGAAAGATTGAAAAGATTGAAAGAATTGTCTTCATTTCTTGCTCCTTCGAATGAGAATTCTTCGATGATCACGGATGAAGCCTTGTCTTAGAAAATCTCGATACAGTCTCCATGAGTCTCATCTACATCTGAATTCACTTTTCAAGACAAAACTAAACCAAAAGAAAAACTTAGCACACAATATTTTTGGAATTTTCATATTTTCTGAAAAATAAAACATAAACAAAAATATTTTTTGATTTTTTTTTATTTTTCT